GGAAAGACAAGGGGCTTTGGAAAGAAATTGGCTCCGCTTCTGCCAGTGATACCATCCTGGCTTTTTTCAGGGAATTTCTGTAGTCTGTTCATCCTTTACTACCAGTCAGATGATAGTCAGGTTTCATTAAGGCTGATTTCTACTTTTTCATCCCAAAACCACTATCCTTCAAACTCTGCAAAAAACTCAAATGCTTTTTTCTTTTAATGTAGTAACACTGAACAGTCCATAAATAAATAAATAAATAAGATCTTTTAAATCTCATAAAACTTTTGCTATAAAGAAAGGCCTCAAGCCTGACACACGTGTTGTTTGGAGGGAGAGACCCATCCAGAGTTCTCTCTGAAAGCTGGTACTTCGTCCTAATTCACAGCAAAGAGCTTTTCTGCTGCCAGTTGCCAGGGAGACTAGAAATACTATTCAGGCTTGGAGGGATCTTTTGTCTCAAGCTCTGAAAAAGCTCTCACTGTGCATTTAAGACCTTCTTCATTTTCTGTCATTTTTAGGGGAGAAAAGAAGATTGTTATGGAAGGAAAAACAAGCATCCACAGAGCCCAATCATTTGCACAGCAACAATAACCTCAAAAGAACAGCTCGACAACACCTTATCTCCAAGAAAATAAACCAACTCCAATATAAAAGAAAAACTCCCTTCAAGTATGATAGGCTAGTTAGTATACTCTTTCTTCTAACAAGAGGCTATAGAGGGCACACAGAGTAAGAAAATACTGCAAGGATTCAGACTTGCTGCCACCAGCAGCAAAAAAAAAAAAGCCAAAGAAGAGGTGGACATACTCTGTCCTTTATTTTCTTGTGTAAAAAACATTTAGGAAAGAAACGCAGGTCCTTTAAGAAACAAAACTATATGAAAAAAACTGTCCTAGATCTTTTGTAAAACTTAAGCATCTGGTGAAACAGCCAAAATGATTAGAAGGGTTTCAGTAATCCTAGCCCTTCAGTATAATTGCAAAATTTCTACACTTATTTATATTAAAGATCTGATCTTCCGTATCAGCTGCTCACAGAAAAACACAAAAAAACCCCCCACCAAACAAAAACCAAACAAAACCTTAAGAAAAAATAGCTTGCACTGTATAGAAAACTACAAAAGTTGTAGGCCGTATATTTGAACTGGTCCACTTACGTTCCCGATAGCTACTTTTAAAGCCAGCACTGTGCCCATGTAAACTTAACCAAAGATTAGAGAACCATTAGCCTAAGTGCATGGGCACTACATTCTTTTTACATTTCAAATTTCTAGAAAAAACAATTTTAAAATATTTCAGATTATTGTCAAATGTCCTTCATTTGCGTTCCCAGTAAATGCAGTACAGGCATATCTGAAACATCACTTATGCAGCATTTGAAAATGCATATAAAAAAAACCTGGGAAAGTCAGCAGATAGCAACCACAAATATTTTGCTGCTTATTCAACAAGCCATTTGTAGAAATTGCACAGTACAAGTCATCCTGTGGTTTACAACTTGAGCAAACCACTTAGACTACTCTAGCACAACTCTCCAAGGCCAAAACAGTAACAAACAGCCATATTTACAAAATAGAGTTGCTTTCCTATACTGATAAACCTTTCTGTTGACACCAGTACCCACAAGAATCTTTACCAGAAAACTTTAGCCGGTAACTCCACTGCCATTCTTCAATAAAGACAGGCAGCACTGAAATATTGCCATTTTGTGAATGAGAACAACTTCAAAGCTTACCCAGACTGCAAGCATCTGCAATATACCAGTTCTTTCATTTTAATTAACCTGAATGCATCATATTTCAGCTAATAATTAAAACTTACAAGTTGTTTTTACAAGCCTTTCTAAACAATCTTGTAAGCCAAGTTATCATTAACAAATTGCATTATATTGTATAAGCAAAATAAACAACAGCAGTTCTGAGTTAGATGCCATCAGAGTCATAAACTGATTCATTTAAGATATTTTATTAAAATGCAAAACATAATGTGAGCATTCTACTTACCATTTTCACTATGTCAGCATAAGCTGATTCAACAATCACTCCACGATTCGTTGAAACATATTCAACCAGTTCACTCAGTGTTGCTCTCTTAATTTCTTTGCTTTTCAGGTCTGAAACAGAGTCCATGAAGTCAAAGAGCACGCAACACTGTTGCAACTTCTGACAAAAAAGATCCTGCTGTTCATTGAAGGTGGCATCTATAAAAGAAAAAACAAACAAACAACACTTAAGTCTGTAGAAGCAAACTCAGGATTTCTAAATCTATTTTGTTGACTAAAATTTGCATAGCTATCTTTTTTTATTATGGGGAATAGTATGCTCCATAGTCAGCAAATTAATAAGCAATATTGTCAAAATTGAAAATATCTGTCTGTTAGAATGAAAGACCCACCATTCACAACCTGTGTTTCATATAAGAAATAATGGATAAACATAGGGCAGTAAATATATTTATGGAAAATGAGTTCCTGAATTAACTTTATTAGAAATACATAGACATTAGTAAGTACCAATTCTCCCTCATCAAAAGTCATATACAGAAGCAATGCATCATACTAACCTTCCATTCATCCGATTTGTCTCATTCTGTTGCCTAATCCTTTATTATGTAACCTGCTTAAAAGCTGTAAAATCTGCTTTGAAGGAACCTTGTCCTTTTACCCCAACGCAAAATACTTCTCATACTTTTGACATCATGTGATGAATATTTCTCTTAAGAATCAACTTCAATATTTCAAAAGGATTAATCCCGAATTTTCATGCTTTGGTCTAAATTATTACAATCTTAGTCACGTAAGGTTTTCCAGCTTTTTTGGCCTATTAAGACAATGTGTTTGGCTATGACTCATCATTTTCATTTTAGAGTGCAGTTTCTCTATAAGCTGATAAGCAAAAGTCCTCCATTAGTACTTCACATTAGCTCTAAAAGAGATGGATTATTAAGTACAGTACACTTGAAAAATTTAATACCTCCTTAAAATATTGTAACTGTTTAAAAGTTGCATAATGACAACAAAAGCAGCCATGGTTTTAACTGAAAAATTGGTTTAACGTGCCTTTTGTTCTTGTTTTTAATTGTTTGTTGGGGTTCTAAGCCACTCCAGTAACATAGCATCACCTCATCTATCAGTCAGTTGGGATTTCACTTGTTCTGGTGAAAATTTTTATTTCTAATTTTATCTGCAAATAAGGAACGCTCTCCCCCTGAAGAATTTTCAAGACCCATCTATAGCCAGACTACTAATCCCTTAGCTTCATTCATTCACTGCAGTATTGATATTAGCACTGCTGTTTCATCATAAGGAAATTATCAAGACAAGAAAAAGGCAACAGAGTACTGAAAATCTTAAGTCTCACTTGTAAAGTTTGAACAAGTCACAAAACGATCTCATGCTTATCTTTATTGTTTTAGGATTATCCTAATTAAACAAACTCCATTTTAAGTTTGTAAGTTTAACAACTCAAACACTCTTTGATAATGCCAGTTCCTCAAGTTTCTTACCAAAACACCTTCCATTTAGCGGCTGGAACAACAACAGTCAACAGTGGGTTTAATATTCAGTAATTATCTGATAGAATTCTTTCATTTCCATAAGCAAAAAGTAATTGCTAAAATGGACTGAAACGCCTCCACTGTAATCCCAACTGCTCGCTCTGCCCTGAAAGTTCAGACACCAGAATATTGTATTCCCTTTCCCCATCTGACAGTTATGATCCTATTAACAGAGCATAACAACTTCAGTGAGCTTTTAAAAAAGCTAGCAATTACTATTCCCGCATAAAGAACAATTCATACTTTCAAATGTTAAATCTGCAATTTTAACCATTTTTCCTTTGAATAAAAATCTCGCAAGATGCTTATTTCACTCAGATAACTACAAAGACCTGAATTGTTACACTCCGCAAAATAATGAACATCAGCTGTAAAAACATTTGTAAGTTACATAACATTTCAGCTCAGATCTTCTAATATTCTACAGTGGATTGCATGAGTAAGTATTGTATCATAGCAACAAAGCAATAACAGTGACATGCTGAGGATAAAATACAAAAAGCCTAATTTAAGGAACTGACACAGGGAGGACAGCTTTTTTTGACACTAGCCCCAAGCTGATAGCCAGACTCAAACAGGAGTCAAACCTACTCTTATTTTTCCTCACTACAAACTTAACTATACTCCAAGTTACAAAAGCCCAGCAGTGAGGCACAGCTAATACACTATATTTAGTTGATGTTAAAAAAAAAAAAAAAGGAAGTATCATTAACCAAAATTTACTTCATAGTTTCAAAAACCAGCAGGCAGCAGCTGAATACTCCTAACAGTGGTTAAAACAGACTGAAGACCTAAGGTTAAAAGCAAGTAACAGGAATTCAGACAAAATAATCAAATCACTTATTACCTTCCCTAGAACATCAAAGAAATCCCTGCATTAGCCACTTTTAGTTAGACATTAGAGTAACAGAGATCGTATCTCTCCTGCCATGCATCACCAGTCCATTTCATTAGCAATCTGATCTATCTCAATTAGACATGTTTTCTCAAATGAAAAACCTGCCCCTTAATCTGTTTTGTTCCTCGTATCATTCAAAGCAAAACCAAAGGAAGTATTTTCTTCTATGTGTACATCCATTTTCCACACTTGTAAGGGGAATCATAAAATAAAGACATCTACAAGAGATGAAAATTATGTGCAACCACCGTAATAAATAAGGTAACAAGAAAGCCCATTCTGTTGTATCAGCGCTACCTGTCTTCATGTCCTCAATCGCTGCTTGACATACAGCACATTTGTCCTGGGAATGTTATGACTATTATGTTGGATAGCGCTCTTAACTTTTTAAAGCCTTGTCTTTAACTAACTATCCCAGCACAACAGAAGCTAGACAGCTCTATACCACGAGAAAATCATATTGCCATGGTTTATTCCAGTTCTATGAATAAAATAAACTGTGCCACCATTAATTGCATCAGTATCAGAGCTTTTAGCTTTAGTAGCTTAACAACCTGTGGCGTGATTTTTAAACCAGTTTTAATTTACCACCTACCAAGATTTGCGCCATACACCTGAAGTTCAAGAAAACCGCCTTTCTTCAAATACCCTAAATACCACAGGGACCATAGAAAATAATGTAGTCTCAAATAGATAATGGATGCTTCAATAAAATAACCCTGTTGACAGGCAGTATTTTGAAGCGGGGGGGAGGGGGATAAAATTAAGCCCAAAGTCTATTACCAGCCTGTCCCTGAATTGCTGTATGTTGTTGGAAGACACTAAGACACTTAAGGGGGGGGGAGGAAACAAAACATGAGGAAGCATAAAGCAGAAAAAAAAAAAAATGGAGCAAAGGCATTTAATCCTACTTGGAAGAGCATCAAGATACATACATTAAACCACCCCTCCAAAAATGGTATACACACCATATGATCCAGGTGATCAAAATGCAATTGCCTCAACTTTATTTTCTAGAGGCTGCTCAACAGAAGTGTGATTTAGGAAAATTTTTTAATCCTTTGCTACATTCTTTGAAAGGTTGGTTGTAAGTTGCTCTGAGGTCCTCGGGAGGGTAGTAATGAGATTTTAGGCAGCCACAGAAAGCCAATTCTTAATCAGATATGATGGTAGGAAATCATAAAGACAAACATTTCCATCCAATATCAAAAGAATTATTCTAAATTATGATCCACTTTAACCATGACTCTTTCTAAGGATATTCATTGCCTCTGGTTATTTCCATGATAGATGGTAAAATATTAGTAACTGATGAAAACAGTTCATTTGATCCTTGCACTTCCTAATACTGAAATTCTCAGACTATTTCTACTATTTACAGAAACCTGATCATTACAGACAGTAGCCACAATCTCAAAGGATAAAAAGTTACAAACATGTTGACTTGGAAGTTCCTCCTGAACAGAAGTTATTAAACATCAAAACTGCGTGACTGCACAGATTTGTCTCTAAATCAAATACTTTCAAATTTATAAAGTCATCAAGCCAAGTCTAAGCATAAAACATTGTGTTAAAAGATGAATTTTTTTCAGGGAGGGCCCAAACAAAATATAGGCAGGGAAAGACAGTTCACAGTCACAGAGCTACCTCACTAGTCTATAACTGGAGAGACAAACACCACCCTATCACTAGCCAGGGGACTACAATGACGTCTTCCCACAGTATATTTATCTTTTATGTTTACAGGCATTGCTCCTGGAAGGAAAAGATAGATACTTCTCCTTTCTCAACAGAATTGTTTACACAAGACCTTTTGTACAAAGCCAGAGAACCTGCCATAATCCTTGTTTCAGTAGCAGAAACCAGAATCTAAGGCCACAAAAACTCCTCTCTCAACTACACAAACTGGAAGTTAAAAAAAACCCAAAAACACCCAAAAACCACACAACATACTTTCCCTGCCAATACAAAATAAATCCTCTCAAACATTTGCAACAAGTTTCCAATTTTTTTTAAAAATATCTCTAATTAAATATTTCTACTTTTTCCTGAAAGAGCTACCCCAGGAAGATGCAGAAACCAGAGAAACAACCATGAAGTCCTCCTCTGACAGCCTCTTAAGCAGTTCACACACAGCCCTTTCAAACACTTCGAGGGCAATGCTACTGCTTCCCTCCTTACAGTAAATTGAACCTGGTGGTCAATCCTACACTTTTACACAATTCCCTGACAACCTGAAATACAGACAAGGATTGATACTTGACAAGGATTGCGCCATAGTTATTGTCATGTTCCACAATGTGAAGTTTAGCATTTAGTCTCTGTTGTCTGGTTACATTTACTGTGCTATATGCAGCTGTACTCAATGGTGGAGGGATATGCTAGAGCAGAAGGAAGCCCTAACACTGATATGGAGAGAGGAGCACATGTACTATGAGACATCAAGAGTTTGGTTTTGTTTGCTTTTTTAATTTATTTCTTCACATCAGTAAATTATCACTGTTGTACAGCCTGCTCTTTTCAGAGATAACCATTAGTCTGGTAAACTCTGGCCTAGCCTACATAAATCAAGAATAGGGATTCCTCTTTAACCTAAATGCAAGATTTGTTTTTGTCCTAGGGAGTCCTTGTGTGCATTATTGTTGTGATCTCTCATAGCATCTGGGTGTCAGCGCTTATGTCATAGGCATGGTAAAGCATTGTTAAGAAATTGAGTTTTGATTCAATTGATGTTATAACAGGGGA